TTCAATTCATTGTACACAAATAGAGCACAACATTTCAATTCTCTGGTTGTAATGATGTAGAGTTGTACCATTTGTGCAATCATATATGTACCTAGGATACTGATGTCCATCTCATTCCACCATCTTTCCTTCCCCTTACCTTTTCCCCTCCTTCCCCTCCCCTTTGCCTAATCCAAAGTTCCTCTATTCTTTTCATGTCTCCCTGCATTATGGATCAGCATCCACAAATCAGAGAAAATATTCAGCCTTTGTTTTTTTTTTTTTTTTTTGGTTGACTTATTTCACTTAGCACGGTATTCTTCAACTCCATCCATTTACCTGCAGATGCCATAATTTTGTTCTCTTTTAATGCCGGGTAATATTCCATTGTGTATATAAACCACAGTTTCTTTATCCATTCATCTATTGAAGGGCACCTAGGTTGTTTCCACAGTTTAGCTATTGTGAATTGAGCTGCTATAAACATTGATGTGGCTGCATCACTATAGTGTGCTGATTTTAAGTCTTTTGGGTATAAACCAAGGAGTGGGGTAGCTGGGTAAAATGGTGGTTCCATTCCAAGTTTTTTTTGAGGTATCTCCTTACTGCTTTCCACAGTAGTTGCACCAATTTGCAGTACCACCAGCAATGTATTTCTTCCTTCCTTCCTTCCTTCCTTCCTTCCTTCCTTCCTTCCTTCCTTCCTTCCTTTCTTTTTCTTTTTTTTTTTACTATGGATTGTGGATTGAACTCAGGGACACTCAACCACTGAGCCATATCCCCAGCCCTATTTTGTATTTTATTTAGAGACAGGGCCTCACTGAGTTCCTTAGTGCCTCACCATTGCTGAGGCTGGCTTTCAACTCACAATTCTCCTGCCTCAGCCTCCCAAACTGCTGGGATTACAGGTGTGCTCCACTGAGCCTGGCTGCTTGTATTCTTTTTTTTTTTTTTAAGCACTCTACTGACTAAGCTATATTCTCAGCCCTGATCTGTAATCTTTTTTTAAAAAATATTTTATTTACATTTTAGTTTTCGGCAGACACAACACCTTTGTTTGTATGTGGTGCTGAGGATTGAACCCAGGCTGCACCCATGCCAGGCGAGCGCGCTACCGCTTGAGCCAGGCCCTGCTTGTATTCTTGATAGTTCCCATTCTGACTGGAGTGAGGTGAAATCTTAGAATAGTTTTGATTTGCATTTCTCTAATTACTAGAGATCTTGAACATTTTTTTCATATATTTGTTGACTGCTTTTATATCTTTTTCTGACAAGTGTCTGTTCTGTTCCTTAGCCCATTTATTGATTGGGCTGTTTGTTTTTTTCGTGTTAAGTTTCTCGAGTTCTTTATATATCCTGGAGATTACTGCTTTATCTGATATGCGTGTAGTAGAGATCTTCTCCCACTCTGTAGGCTCTCTGTTCACATCATTGATTGTTTCTTTTGCTGAGAAGAAGCTTTTCAGTTTGAATCCATCCCATTTATTGATTCTTGATTTTACTTCTTGTGCTTTAGGAGTTTTGTTAAGGAAGTTGGGGCCTAATCTGACATGATGAAGATTTGGGCCTACTTTTTCTTCTGTTGGGTCTCTAGTCTCATTCCTAAGTCCTTGATCCACTTTGACTTAAGCTTTGTGCACGGTGAGAGACAGGGGTTTAATTTCATTTAGCTGCATATGGATTTCCAGTTTTCCCAGCACAATTTGTTGAAAAAGCTATTTTTTCTCCAATGTATGTTTTTGGCATTTTGTCTAGTATGAGATAACTGTTTTTATGTGGGTTTTTCTCTGTGTCTTCTATTTTGTACCATTGGTCTACATGTCTATTTTGGTGCCAATACCATGCTGTTTTTGTAACTGTTGCTCTGTAGTATAGATTATTATCGTTTTTTAAAAATATTTTTTAAGTTGTAGATGGACACAATACTTTTATTTTATTTATTTTTATGTGGTGCTGGGGATCAAACCCAGAGCCTCATATGTGCTAGGCTAGTGCTCTCCCACTGAGCTACAACCCCGACTCCATTATTGCCATTTTTCAGAGGAGGAAATGGAGACATTCAAATTGATAAGGAAACTTGTCCCACAGTAACCCAGTTGGTAAGTGGTGGGCTCAGGCAGGTAGATACTAGAGTCCATCCTTCTACCATAGACAGCGCTGTTAAATTTTAGAATCTAATATTCTCTAAAACTCTGTTCAAAGTTCCTGTATTCTTTAAATATATTTACTCTTTTGAGCATTCTGGCAAGAAAATTTGGATCCTTTTTATCTATCACATAAAACCCAATGTTAAATAGTAACCTTTATGTCTCAGAATTGACAAAGGATGTATTTAAATGTCATTCTTATATTGACAGTTAAAATGATATTCTATCCTCAGTCCTTTTTAGGAGTAATAAGAACTAAATTGCTAAGGCTAACCTCAAATTTGCAATCCTCCTGCCTGAGCCTCTGGAGTTGTTGGGATTATAGATTCATGCCATTGCACCTGGCAAAATTTACTATCTTTAATTCATTATTTTTCAATTCATATTGAAATTATTTTACAGTTAAATGTTTTAAGTTCTACATTAACATTTCTCAAGGTGATCTTTTTTTTTTTTTTTTTTTTTTGGTTGCTGGATTGGGTGCTGGTACATACTAGGCTTGTGTTTTACCATCCACCTGTCATTTAAGTGTGCCAGGTAGTTGGGGATTATGTTAGTTTCTTCATCAGGATCTTAATACTAAAAGTTATGAACATTCTTAAAGTATGTATTTTTTGTTTAAGATGTAATATAATTTTTTTCTCTTCTCCGATTAAATTATAACCTCATTCAGTCATTCAGGGTAGCTTGTACATTTACTACTTCCTTTGTATTTAAAAAAAATTTTTGTAGTTGTAGATGGACAGCATGTCTTTATTTTATTTGTTTATTTTTATGTGGTGCTGAGGATTGAACCCAGTGCTCCACTCTGCCACTGAGCTATAGCTCCAGCCCACTTGCCCCAACCCACTTCCCTTTGTATTTTAATGTTTTTAAGACATGTACATGTTGTCATCTTCCTATCTGAGTTTCTGTGCCTTAATATCTTTCAGAAGTTGGTGGGAGTTCTGACTGATGCTTTAAACTCATATTTTCTTTTCTTTTTTTTTTTGGGTGGTGCTGGGGATTGAACCCAGGGCCTTGTGCATGCCAGGCAAGCACTCTACCAACTGAGATATATCCCCAGCCCTAGTGCTTGCTTTTTAAATTGATGTCAGGTCCTTCCCAGCCAAAGTACAGGCTTTTGAACCAATCCCTTGACAATTAATGAGGAAGGAGTTTTTCAAACCTTAATTTTAGAAAAGAAGATAACTTTCCAAACTAATCTCTGTGAAGGTATACAGAGAATTTACAAAGAAGTCTATTGAACCTGGGGCTGGGGTTGTGGCTCAGTGGTAGAGTGCTCGCCTAGCATGCATGAGGCACTGGGTTCAATCCTTAGCACCACATAAATGTAAAATAAAGATATTGTGTCCACCTAAAACTTAAAAGTAAATATTAAAAGAAAAGAAATCTGTTGAACATGGCTCTACTACTAACTAGGCAGAGAGAAAGAGTGATAAATTTCAAGTCTGTTATAAACATACTGACTCAAGTCTCATTTTGCTAATGTATCTAATGTACCTGACTCCATACATTAACCCTAATGTATGGAGTTGAAATTTGAAAGTTCTGGGATTTTTCTTTTTATTCATTGCCTTGGGAGGAACAAAAGGAAGCTAGAGTGCAGAGATGTGAAGAACTGGCAATTTGGCAACTCTTCTTTTTACCCCTCCCCCTACGATCTTAGCTGTTTGACCCAATTAAACAGCTTTGGGATGGTAGCCAGACTTCTATATGCTAAGGAGTCTCCTGCACAGTGATTTAGTGCGATTTCATCCACTTGGGGCTTCTTGGGGGCATCTTTGCCCCTGGGAGCCTGACTTCGCAGAAGTCTTCCAATTTTGTCAAGGGGTCGCCAGTGAAGAGTTGTCACTGACTTGAAGCAGACAGACTCTCTGGATGCCTGGAGTCACGTAGGATTATTCATTGGCAAATTCTTTTCACCTTCTATCTAAGTAGTGAAAGGTGACGCCAGAATCTCGAGTGCCACTCCCCGAAAGGGACTCTGGCAACACCCAGTCCAGGTTCTACAACTTCTGCCTAGTTCCTCGCTTTCTTAGTAGCACAGACCGTTTTCAGAAGTTGCCTTAAATCTTCCTTGTCCCTAAACCTAAAGGTCAGATCGCCACTTCGCAGCCAGCTCTCCAGCGGGCCGGAGTCTGATCTTTTCGGAAGTTTCTGGTGAGGCTGGGGAACTGAAGCGGAGGTAGCTGGGGACCACGCCGAGTGACCACCGTGAATTACGTAACGAAATCTCTGGCTGCGGAAGAGACAGAACCTGACACTGAGACATTCCAGGGGGAGGGGAGTTGCTGTTCTGGAGTCGCCAGGGTCAGTGGCTGCAATTCCAAGAAATCCAGAGAGGAAGGTGGCTGAGAGAAAGAAAACACTTCGGGAACAAGAATATTTAAAAACCGCTGGACCCAGAGCACTAGCAAACGGCAGGACACGTGTAGTAATTTGTCAGAGGAAACGGCAAACTTGCAACTTTTGCACTGGAACACGGGGGTTTACCCTTCGGGGGATTAAAAGTAGTGATATGCAAAGCCAAAAGCAAATGAATGGGATTCAGTGGTTTGTTAGCAATATGTAAATATTTCTATACAGGAGCGCAAACTCTCCGCAGTTATTTTAAAAAGTAGGGACTCAAACCAAGCTAGAATACTCTCCCGTGCATTTCCACTAGTCCCAATCGGAAAAGGAGCTGCTAGCGCGGTACTTCCCCTTTAAGACCTGCTAGCTCTCGGGCTCTACAAAAGGGAGTGACCTCTGGGCTTTGACAGCTCCCCTAATAACTACCACCGCGAAGGCCCCGCCCACCTGGCGACCAGCCGTGCCGATTGGCTGGCGGGCCGGTATCCCGTGCTCTGATTGGTCCGCCGCTTCCCCTGAGCGAACCTTTAGAACTCTGAGACAGACAATATTCTGTTACATTGTAGCAAAATGGCGACTGTCATTCACAACCCCCTGAAAGCGTAAGTAAGACTAAAAAATGTACATATTCCGCGTGGTTTCAATATGAAAAAAAAGGCGCCTTCTGCGTGCCGAGCGCTGCCAATGCTCGGCGCTTGCAGGCGCCTCCAGCCGCGGCGGGGCTTCTCTCTTTTCTTTCTGCTCTTACTTCTTCATCTTCTTTTTTTTTTTTTCTCCCAGAGCGCAGAAATGTCAGGAGATGCAATTAACAAAAAGAAAATTGTTACATTTGTGTTCTACTTAATTGGCGGACCAAGACTGCGAGCGAGAGAGGGGTTACCAGCAGGGGAGCCAGGCGCTCCAGCGCTTTACAGCTCAGGGGGTCTTGGGCAGCTCTGGGATTGCACGGTCCCCCGAGTCCCCTACCTCGCCGGGCGACGAGTGCCGCGCGGGCGACGGCCAAGCGGGGACCGAGCGCCGGGCAGGGGCTGCCTCGGTGCACTTGGATGAGCCCTGGCCTCCGGAGCCCGAGGCCCCCGCCCCGCTGCTCGGACTGCCGGGGCGAGCGGACAAACCGCGGCGGCTCCGGAGTTTGCAGGGCGCTCTCTGCCTTCAGATCTCTGGCGGGGAGTTTGTGCAAACCTTCCGGAGTTGGAGGACCGCGGGGGGAGCAGCGGGTCCCGGGAGCCCCGGGGCCCAGGTGGTTGCCCCGGGCTTTTCTGCCCTGGCGTCCCTGGATCGTGAAGGCGCTCCGGGCGGTCGCCGGTGTGTCTGCGTATTTGTGGACAAACTGGCTGTAGTAAATTAACGACTCGGGTTAACTTGGGGTTGATTTGGAGGCTGGGTAGCTGCAGGTCTTATGAGTGGTGTTCTTTCCTCCTCTAGGTGAAAAGCCGAGGCGGGCGGGGAGGCGGTTTGGGGCTCCCCATCCGAGCCGGCTGCGTCTGCTCGCGGCCAGAACTAGGGGCAGGTGCCTCCGGCCGCCTCGGGGAGACTTTGAGAGGACGCCCAGATCCCGGACAGAGGGAGGCGGGCTGGGCGAGGACTCGCAGGGGCCAGTCCCCGGGCCCGGTAGCCAATTCCTGCTTGCTTTCCTTCCTTCCAGTCGGGGGAACTGTTAAGCCGCCAAGTCCGCTTGCGATCGCGGAGCCGGGGGCGGCCTCGGAAAACTAGTGTCGCTGTGAAAGGGGTGCTATTGGCAGGAACGTTGGCGGAGGGTGGCTCCTACTGAAACGCGGCGCGACGTGGGCTCCGGGGTCAGCACCCCTTGGACCAGGACTTCCCCGCCGGATGAAAGCCCTCTGGCGAGGCGAGGGGGAGGTGCGGATGGGTGTTTGGTGCCGAATTCTCCCCGGTGTGTGGCGGTCGTTGACCCCGCTTCTTTTAACTCTGCACATTCGCGTCCTAAGCCCGGGCTCCTACTGGAGTTGAAAACCAGGTTCGCACCGGGGCGGCGGTAGGGGGCATTCCTAACGCGAAGGAACGCTTAGAGAGAATCGGACGTGTTTACACCAGCTTATCTCCCACTGGTGATAAGGAAGGGGGTAGGAATGTCCCAGGTTTCCGAGGAGATTGGAAGCTGAGGCTGATCAGAGGGGGTTCTGATCCTGGCTTCTGTTCTCGCTCGAAGCTCAGATACATTGCACTTGAACGCCACAGCGTTTCACCCAAGAAAGAAAATGTTTTATGGCAGAATAAATGGGCGTAACTTCGCCGCATCCTAGCTCCAGGTCGCTCGCGCCGCCTCACCGCTGATGCTGGGAGTTTCTACCGAATCCACAACTGATTTGCAATTCCCTTATTTCCAGCCGAAATCACATATTCGGGCTAGTGCCACCTGGTAAACTCAAGTTAGAAAGATCTATTTCGCATGTGCGCAGGGTTTCCTACTGGGAAAGCCATACCCTTGTTGCCGGGGAGCCGGCTTTACGCGCGGGCGGGCGCAATATCTCTACGCTCCAGTGTTCCCTTGCTCACTCCACTTTTTTTTTTTTTTTTTTTTTTAAACCACGGAAGGCTGCGTGTTTGGGGAGGATGGGGTAAGTAAGGAACAGAGAAGCGGGAAGAAGAGGGCCAAATCTTGGCTGGTTAGTGGAATTAGTTCTGAATTATACTTGCACTTTGTATAATTAGAAACAGTTGCAGTGTGATGTATTTGTAATTCTGTATTGACACACGCTAGCACACATGCAACACGCCTGCCTGCTTTTTTCCAGGTGGGAGTTGAGTGGTCATTTATAATTAGCTGTCCCTTTTTGCATCCCAAACCCTCTCCCCTGGGGGTGAGGGGTGTAAACAATACCACCCCCGCCACAGCCGAGCTTTTTGCGCCCTGATCGGTTTTTAAACTCCTTACGCAGGAGTACACACGTTGTTACTGGGAGAGCAACACCATCTGCCTTTATTTTATAGAAACAACTTGTTTAATAAAACATCTTATATATTTCATTTGTTTTTAGAAGTTGCTGATCAGGAAACAAAACACACGTGAATAAATTATGCATGGGATAAATTAGAACAAAGCGCAGAGACACATCAAGCCGAAGGGATGGATGGTGGTGCAGGGAGGAGGGGGAGCCCGGAGGATGGTTTGGAGCGCTATGTTTTTATCCTCATGTGTCCCTCCTGACAATGAAACGGAGCTCAACGACATTAGCATTTTCTCTGTGTGCGTTCTGAATCTCCCCCTCCTTTAAAAAAAAAAAAAAAAAAAAAAAAAGCCATCACCACGGTCGCCCCCTACAGAAACTGGTCGCACAAAGGTTTTCTCTAGGATTGGGATAAAGTAGCTTTAGTTACTGTGCCGCTCAGGTTTCATGCAACACCTATGTAGAGCTCTGTCTACTTTAAGTATGGACTATTTTTCATCAGACTAGCTTTTCCCATGCGGCACATTCAATAATATAATGTAGCGATTTGGGCGCAATTGGATGGCACAATTTGACCCTCTTAGCTTTAGGGGTCTTCCTTAGGGCCCCAAGCTCCCGAAGCGCTCTCTCTCTCTCTCTCTCTCTCTCTCTCTCTCTCTCTTTAGCAGTTTGGTTTTTTTCCTGGTTGTCTTTGATCTCCCCTCAACTCCCTTTCTTTTTCCTCCTTGTTGTACCCCGCACCCACTTCCTCTCTGAAGCTGACAGCCTAGCTTCTCTTTCTGTTGTGCCTTTAACATCTTATTACTGCCCAACAGGGTGTTAGAGGCAGAAAAAGGAGCTGCCTGGACTGATCAGATCACAAAGGGGACGCAGCAGGTGGCCCCATAACCAGGCAGTCACATCTGGACAAATAGAATTTAAAAGCACCAATGGACATGTATGATGTGTAAATGTGTATGATGTGTTATTTAATTTAGCAACTACATTATCTGAGCAAAGATGTGTGAGTCAACCTCATTTCTTACATACATAAGCAGGCAAGGGATATATGGAGAAATATGAATTTGACAAAGGTCTGTGTATAAATACAGGTAGGTAACATAAATATGAATTTGAGGTCTGAGTGTAAATTAGTGGCATAGCGTGTTGTATTCTGGTTGATTTCTGCATACCAAGGAACAATGCTTTCCATGTAAGTTCTAATCTTAGTATTCTAGTATAGGTAAATCATCTTCCCCCAAATCTGCAAACAACACTTTAAACAATTTACTCTATTAGTAAGTTATCAAAATTCTGGTTTGTCTGCACTTAACTGGGAATGTCTGCCACCTTCTGCCAGATTTGATTATGCACATATGTATCTATTATTATAACTGCCTGCTTAGGAAAAGAATAACTGTGATTATGATTTAATTATTCTGTATGAACCAATAGGGGTTTACTTCAAGTTAACTGTTTCTTTATAAAGAATGAGACAAATAAGCTATTTGAGCAGGTTTATAACTGTGAAATACATATACATAATTGTATCAAAACTTTCTTTTGTAAGGAGTTACCCTTGCTTGGAGGTATGTGTTGATATGCATGTTTTATTATTGAGGATACAACTTTGAGAGGTGTAAATACACTTACTTAGCCAAGGTCATGTTTCAGCTGGATCTTAACTCTTCATTTCTTTGTCCATGCTCTCATCTGGATACAGTGTATTCTAAGCTAGAGTGTTTTTTATGCCTATGAAAGTTAGAAGTCAGACCTCATTCTTGTTGTGGCAACCAGTTTAGCTGTCAGAGAGGAAGGGGTAGGGGACCACATTCCTGGTCCTAATCTCTTGGCTGTTTCTGTGGGGTGGGGATTGTGGGTAGGTACTAAATGGAGAGCAATGGGGTTAGGACTCTGTGAACTTGTAGCCTTTTATGGACAGTATTTTAGCCTTTTATGGAAAAGGACCCTCAGATATTTCAAGCCAGCAGATGCCTGAGAACCACCTTCTCCATCCGCCTCAGGTTTGATACAGTAAAAAAGCTCCAGATTCTCCAAACTTCATTAGCGCACATTATTTTCCGGTGGGATGAATGTCTTGTTTTGATGAGATGCTTGTGAAGGAGATTAATTTCTGGCAGGACACAAGTGGAGGCATTGTCATAGAGTAAACCTCTGAAAATAGCCTGGCTTGCAGACCTCCTAGGGGACATGTGAGATTGCCAGTGGAATGAATGGGAGCTGCCCAGTCCCAAAAGGTGGGCTGGAATTCAGAGGTGACTTTGTTGGACATTTCTCATCCTCCTCTGACTTTTCATGGCAAGGGGGCTAGAATTTTGGATACATCTGAGAAAGTCCATCATGTTTCCAGCTGTTTTGGAGATGTCTGCTCAGATCAATGCAAGAACTACAATGTCACCGTCAGCATGTTTTGTTTTAAGAATGGAAACTGAGGCTGATGTTCCATATTTTGAAGCGCTGTCATGCTGAATGCAGTGGCAGTGGGGGCTGGGTCATATAAAGGCTCCAGAATCCAGGTCTGTTTATTATCCCAACCTCTGCAAAGTAACTTTTGTGGTTTTTGAGTGTTTTGAAAGTCACTAGAAGACAGAAATGGAGCCAAATGTGGCAAACCTCTGGCCAAAAAAATCCCACAACCACTGAAATATTTTTTACCCAGCCGCGATTTTCCATCAGGAGTCTTATGTAAGCAT